GTACGCTACGTCGAGGACTTTGGATCGGCACCGACCTCGGCACCGACGATACCTCGCTCGAGAAGGTCGACACCATCAGGGCAGTACATCCCCGAGTGCCTCGTCGCCCTCACCCACTGCGGCCACAACATTCTGCACACCGTCCCGATCTGGAAGCTTCCCCGCACCGACAAGCCCTCGGACCTGTTCGCGTTCACCGATGTCGACCACCGCGTCCTTACCAAGAAGGGGATCACCATCGACTCCTGCCTCAACTTCGAGACCTCGAGACCTCGATCCCGCCCGCCATCATGTACGGCGTCACCGGTGGTGCCAGGATGCCGACGCTCAGTGGTAAGTGGGCCGCCGGTTGGGAGGCTGTCGGTCGAGATTCAGTCGACATGCTGGGCCTGTCGCGCGAGGTCTTCATGAAACGATGCATCCTCGAGCAGCTCAACAACGTCAATGGGAATGCGATGACGACGACCGTCGCGAAGAACGTCGATGTCGTCGACGATATTTGGGAGGTCGACCTCACGACATGGTACCTGTACCCGACGCGGAGAGCCGTTCAGTGCCGCTGTGACCAAGAGTGCCGGCAATACACGGCGGGATCGCATCGGTTTGAGGGCTGGCAGAGCCGCGGTGGGCTGGTCAAAGCGAAGCTTCGTCAAGTCGAGCACAGCGCGGAGCTCTCGTACAGGTCTCTAAAACGCAGCGTTATGATTAGGTGTAAGTAGGGATATAGACATTCATTCAAGAAGGTAGTAATCAAAGAGAAAGCGGTCGATATCAAAGCAAAGAGCCGGGGTCAATAGGTATGTGTTTAACATCGGAACGTCGGTAATAATGTCGTTGGAACGTACACAGGCACACCTGGACATGCCAGGTGTGATCATGACTTTGTGCTGGACGCCTCGGATCCCCACCACGGTGTAGCGGTGAGCTGCAAACAGCTAAATTAATAGTCCTAGTAATAACGCGAGCGACTTACGTTACGATAATTCGCCTTGTCCCGTTCGCACGCGCGCGCTGCCCGACGATCGACTTCGCTACTTCTTTGAGGATGCGTTCCCGCTGTAACGGCTGCGCAGAATACCAGCTGGGATCGAGGAACAAGACACGCCAATCATTTCTATATATAAAACCAGGTAAGTCTCATTAGTCTAATTGCGGGGCGACGGCACTTACGAAGTGGCACGCTTCGCCTCGGTCTCCATCAGCCTCTTTACCGCCTCCCATCGAACCCTCGCCCTGTATTGCGCGAAGGATTGATACCAGCCAATCGTACGGTTCGTGTTCCGTTGCCCCGAGTTCTTCTGGTTGCCGGACATGTTGAGCTTTCGGACTGACGGCCGTGGCGGTTCGAAAGCGTACGGTAAGTACGAGGAATCAGTCGAGAATCTGGCACTCACCTTCAACCAATTAGCTCCCACCTCCTCAACTGCTTTCGTACGGTCGGGCGCTGAGGGCGAATGCGACGGCGGTCGAAACTGGGCACAAGACGCGAAGGAGTTGAGCTTGAGGGCTGAGGGCTGTGGCGGTTCGAGAGCGTACGGTAAGTACGAGCTACAACGGCGGTCGGCGCAGGGCACTAGACGCGAGGTAGTCGAGGATAGAGGGGTGTGGAGGAGGGAGTTGTATGGTGAGCAACGAGACCGAACCGAGAATGAAGACTCACCTGGGATAACGGCTCTGAACCGCCTTCCAGACGATCGGAGATGGCAGGTGAACCAAACGACAGCGCGTAGAGGGTACGAGGTGCGGGATAGTCGAGGATAGAGGGTGTGGAGGCAGAAGACAGCGGGTTGTATGGTGAGTGAGCAACGACACCAAACCGAGAACTGAAGACTTACCTGGGAGAAACCACGCTAAACCTCCTTCCAGACGAACGGAGAGGGCTTCTGAGTCGAAGGACGGCGCGCAGAGGGTTGGAAGTGCGAGGTTGTGGGGATAGAGGAGTGGGCAGTGGGCAGCAGACAGCGCGGTCCATGGTGAGTAACAACACGGAAACGAGAACTGGAGGCTTACCTGGGAGCACACAGAAGACCAAGCGATGAGCCAATGTAAGTGAAGAAGGTGCGAGGTGGCTGAGGATGGGGGTGGGAGGCAGTCAAAGAGGGGACGGCGCGAGAGCGAGAGCGGGAGCAATAAGCGCCGAAGTACGTCGGGGAGAGCGCGAGGCGTGTAGGATCACGACGCTGTGTTGGCAGACCGTATACTGAGCCAGTGAGAAAAGCTCAGGCGGGTTTTCGCAGATGCAAGTAAGCTGCTCTGACGCCATCGTAGAGCGAGTGGCAGGCGGTACGCGCCCAGCTGTACGGCGCGGCGGGACCGAACCGAATGAGCTAGGGGACGCCACAAAGGCGATGGTGAGCGGGCCGGTTTCTGCGTGGCTAAGCCCCTGGACCGTGGCTGAGACGTCGGCCGCGTGAGTGGCTGGAGAAAGGTTGTTAGGTCAATACCTAACGGTTACAGTGTAGGGCCTGGTGGTGCAGGTGTTAGTGCTCATTGGGCAATCGGTGGT